TATGCGGCTGCCTTCTGGCATACTCGAAGACAGTGATATAAACCAGACCAGATACAAATTTGTAGTACCGTTCCTTGCCAGTGAGTTAGTTATTTTGTCCCCGAACGTCGATCATTTGTGTGATGAAGTGTATATGTGGAGCAATCCCTTCAGAAACATGTAGATAATGGAATTAATCTCTCTCATAAACGAACAGTGTTCAGTTTTCAAGTTAGTAGTTTGCTGTCTATTTTGTCAGTTTTACAGTGGTAATAGTTTGGCTGGAATATTGTTTCTCTTTACCTTACTGCACTAGTGTCAGAACAATAATTGGGCCGTAGAGGAATAATGCGCTGGAGCCATGATGCTTACGTGCTTGGAGGGACTTGACAAGTCTGGAGATCTTCGTAGTGCTTGACATAGGCAGCATTTTAGATCTGTGAAATTTTCATCCGCTGAATAGGGAAGTATACATTTGTATGACGTCATATCACGAATCACGAATGCTCGTTCTCTTTTGCATATGATGTAACTGAGGAAATTCGCTTTCCACGAGCAACGATTGCGTCGACCCTCGTTGCTAGTTACTTACTATATCTTGGAAACGTTTTCGGAAAAGACAAGAAAAACGGCTACTACTTATTCAACCGATTGGTGCATCACCCTGTGGACTGCCAAGAATGAACTTTTAAGTGTTGGCACAGCATTAGGGATTTAAGTTAACCGACCGATGTGTTGAATATGCAGAATAATGGGTAATTTAATACACTTAAGACTGTTCTTACCAACTGCACACGCTTCCATCAGAAGTAGTATTGCGATGACGAACACCATTTTGACGGGCACAACTGTAATTACTCAATCTGGTGCACCTAATATACATGTCGGAGACACTTGACTAAACAAAGATTGGGCGACAGTATGTTTGTCTGGTTGTTTGTACAACTTGTGGACTTATACGTCATGGTAGTCGGTGACGCTCTTCAGCACCTTATGCCGTCTTTCCGAACTGGTCGCCTGTTGCGTCCGCTTTTGTATAGCTTCTGTAACGGGTCGGAAACATTTTCGTTTTTTGTGCCGGTGTCACACTTCCTATTTCTATAGATGAATATGAGTGCGTTTAGAAGCTGGGTGGAGTCAAAAATCATGGCCGACATCCGAAGTTATTTTGTCCCTTGCCAGCATGTTGTGCACAGTTGCCTTCTGCGCGGATCCTCGTGTAAACATAAAGTGTTTACTACTATCGCGTAGTTTGACGTCAGCATTTCCTCATAAACAAAGTTTTCTTCCCTGTCCCCGATATTTGCTGATCAACGTTGTTATTGTGTTAGAAACTTAACTCAGCTTAGCAGTTTCCTGAGTTGGGCATGTGAGTCTAAAAGTGCTCTGTGCCATTTATAAGTGTCATTTATCTACCTTGTTCTGTTGATGTTTTTCTCTGTTTCCGTACCTGCCCAACGCACGTTTTCGCATGGAATATCTTCCATCGTTTGGCTTCTTTGCAAACCTGAATGATCATGCGCGAAGATACCCTACAAGTTGTTGTAGTGCCTACTATGAGGCTAAGAAAAGCAATAAATACTTAATCCTTAGATATTGGATAACTAAGTCCTAGCCGATTGCTAGAAATTGTAGCGCAGTCTTCCTGCGTATATCCGTGTATTATGCTGGCATGAAAGCCATCCTATCGTTCAGCTAAAATCCTGGTAGTCTCAATACGATTGTGAGATTAAACTACGGCGGCTATCACTATAACTACGACGTTGTAACCATAGAGGGCGGTGTTTCAAATTACGAGATCAAAAG